TGACCTTGAGCAATCCTCCCGCCTCGGCCTCCCAGAGTGCTCTTCTTCCACTTTTAAAGACCCTTGTGATTACATGGGGCCTACCTGTTATCCAACTAATCCAAAATAATCTCCTTGTCTTAAGGTCAGCTGATTAGCGATTAATTCCATCAGCAGCCTTAAGTTCTCCCTTACAACATAACACATTCACAGGTTCCGGGGATTAGGATCTTTGAGTCTTGGCCTCGAAATGGTTAACATCATTTCTATTCACATTCCATGGGTGAGAACTAGCCTAACCGAAGGGGAAGCTAATTGAAAACTCCTGAGTAGAAACTATATTCCAACTACAGCTATATTCTATGGAAAAGAAAATTAGATTTTGGTGGATAGTTGACCCTCTCTGACACAACGGATTAGTGACTGGCTCCTGGTGTGGCAGAGTTTATGTGCTTAACCCCCAGGTGCTACTGATACATATTAAGACCATGCTCAGTTAATAAAATTAACATAGAAGTGTTGTCTCTCTCTTCCCTGTTATGAAGAGGTTGCAATAGCATTGCTAATTCCTTTCCCTTGAAAATTTGGTAAAATTCACCTATCAGACCATGTAGGTTTTGTGTTTTAGGGGGAGGTAGACCTTTGACAATCTGATTTCTTCTGCAGTATGGTCTCTTTATATTTCCTGTGCTTTTGGGGGGAGTCGCTTTTGGAGATTTATACTTTCCTAGAAAATTATCTATTTCATACAAGTTTCCAAATTTACTTTCATAGAATTGAGATACATTTGTCTCACAATTCTTAGAACTTCCTGTTTACTCTGCAATCTCATGTATTTGTAATTTTCTTTTTGACTTACTTAGCTAATGGCTTTTTCCATTTTACTACCATTTTCAAAAGACCAGATCTTGGATTTATTCGTATGTTCAACAATATTCCCATTTTTATTTCATATCTCCTTTCGTTTTTTATTTAATTTCTTTAGGCTCCACTTTTTATTAGTTGCTTTTGGTTCACTATTGTTCTAATGTCTTGAGTTGAATGTTTTTAATATATGTATATTCAGTCATTTGCATTAATTGGCATAAGTTTTTTTTTTTCTTTTTTTTGAGACAGAGTCTCACTGTGTTGCCCGGGCTAGAGTGAGTGCTGTGGCATCAGCCTAGCTCACAGCAACCTCACACTCCTGGGCTCAAGCGATCCTTCTGCCTCAGCCTCCCGAGTAGCTGGGACTACAGGCA